TCTGTAATTATCAATGGTATATTAACATTTAAGTAAGATTATCTTATAGCTCATATTTTTCTTCAAATGTTCTGATATAAATATGTGAGTTTTTAATTTCCTGCTTTAATTTGATCTAGTGCTGGTATTTCCATCATCAGTGTTGTTTTAAGGTGTTTTTAATTTAATTGCGTTTATTGACACATCTCTAGTTCCTCATCTCTCTCACTCACCATTTTCATTGTCAGGCAGCTCAACAGAGCTGTTAATGTAGGCGGCCACCTTCCCTGAAGAGAAATCACAGCTCTGCTTGTGTCCTGTGTAGCTGTAGTCTGTTTCTGTCTCAAGACCTCCTTTACAGGAGAAAGAAAGAAGCACATTTATATGGGACACGTTTACTCGTACAGATTCCCTATGGGTAGTTTGATTGAAATTGCCTTCTAGGGAATGTTATTTCTTACCAAGCTTCTCAATGGCTTCGTAAGCGTTAGATGGCAGACCACCTCCACATGCTTGGTCCAGTTTATCACAGTCCACTAGTTCTGTGATGTAAAGAGGTGAGCAAACAAATTAATTTTCACTGAATTCACAATTGAGAATGTTAATGCAATAATTCCTGTTTTATCTCATGTCATTAAAGGTGTTTGCTAAGGCAAGGCATTAATCAGGCACCACTAGAGTCGGTAAGATTTTTTAAAATATTTTTGAAATAAGTCTCTTATGCTCACCAAGGCTGCATTTGATACAGTAAAACAAATTGTAAAATGTAATTTAATCCTGTGATGCAATGCTGAATTTTCAGCATTATTACTCCAGTTTCAGTGTCACGTGATCCTTCAGAAATCATTCTAATATGCTGATTTTGAATAAATATTTATCATTATTATCAATGTTGAAAACCGATTTGCTGCTTAATATTTTTGTATAAACTGTTACATTTTTTCAGGATTCTTTGGTGAATAGAAAGTTCAAAATAATAGCATTTATTTGAAACAGAAATCTTTTGTCATTATAAATATCTTTACTGTCACTTATAGTATTAATTTCTTTAAAAAAAAACTTACTGACCCCAAGCTTTTGAACGGTAATGTAGTTTATATTTACCTTGCTCAGAGAGGGAAAGAAGTTGTCCGGTTTTCTTGAACCACTGTCCCTCAATGTTTTCAGTCACAGAAAATGCCCAACAGGAGCCACACATGCCCTGCAACAGACAGTCAGTTACACTTTTAATTTAAAGTAAAATTCTGCAGACATACTCAAAATGTTTTTTTTTTTTTTAGACATACTCAAATTGATATTTCACTGAATCACTCTTTATTAAGATAATCTGTGCCATCATACCTGATTCTTCACAGGACTGACCGCCCCGTGGTCCCTCCAGTCCCAGCTGTCAGGAGCAGCCTTACTAGCCAGAGTCGCTGGCTTCATCTCCTTCTTCAAGCTCCACTGACTCAGCATTGGGTTCAGGTACATCATTCTGAACTCATCCTCTAAAAACACAGAGGATGGGATTAGCTGCATCAATATGATCTTATAAACGATACATGTTAGACTGGTCTCAAGTGTTACAAACTTAGTTACAGCGTCTTTGAATTATGTAATAACTATTGTTAAATCACAAGCATTAATAATGCTCATTTTGGCCTAGGTTGTTACTTTTGACCACTGAGTCATCACTAATTGCCAATTTTTGCACATTTCACTAACTGAGTAATCAACGTTAATCAACAAATCCATAAACATACCTGTGAGGTCACTGAACTTGGTGACCCCGTACTCAGCTGACCCCTGTTCCAGAGATTGCAACGTTTGTGCCGTTTTCATATTCTCCTGGAAAATGCGCAAACGCTTCTCTGCCTCTGTGGAGTTTAATGGATCAGTGCTTAAAGAAGGGATTTTTATTGTGTATGTGCATTACAAATAGCCATTAACTGACATACTAGTATAGAAAAATAATATGGTAACAGTTTACATTATACACATATTGCACATGACAGGTAATATATATTAATATATTTGTATACTTAAGTACCTGAGAAATTACACTGTAAAATGTACAGCAATGTAAAGATGTGACAAATTCATAGTAATGTTAAGAATGTTCTGTGTTTTACCTTCTTGGGAACTGTATGTTCGATTGTATGTGTTCATAAAGTTTTTAAACTGGGTCAAAAGCTCCACAGTTTCCTGAAATCAGCAAAAAATCATGAAAAGCTCATAAATATTTAACCCTGTAAAGCCCGACATGAAAATAATGGTTAGAAAAATCTAATCTGAAATGGAACCGTTTATTGAAACTTTAGACAAAATATAAAAAAGATCCGTAAAAAGTTTGCTTATGTGTTTTTGTTGAGTATCATATTTGATACATCAGGCTTTTATATGGCTCATATAGTATAATAAGAATATCAAGCTCATACTTGAGGAGGAACAAAAATATTTCTCAAAAGCCAATATTATATTTGATACTCATATTTTAACATGCTTTTTCTAAAGTGATGTATGGACAATCAAGTAAATCTAAGTTGCTTCAGTTCAGTAAATGTTCATCTTGTAATATTGCTAACAATATAAAAGTTCTTTTTATTACTTTATGAAAAATTAGTAAAGATTTCACAGCAAAAACACACATGAACCATGACCTGAAAATGGACATTTTTAGAATTATACTAAAAGGACTTTTAGGTTTGAACTATTAGCCAGACGACAGATAGCATGTAGTAGATTATGTACATTAGGTTTTCAGCAATGTTGTGATTCAGTTGGCTTTATCGGGTTAATTGACATTATGGGGTTAATTGCAAATATTTATGTGTACACTGCATACTTATCCATACCTTCATAGGTTTGCCATGGGTTAGGGGTACGGCTGCAACCTTTCTGAGCTCCTTGGAAACTAAGGCATGAACAATATCAAGGTAACTACATATGCATGTTGGGTAGAAAACAATTAAAAGTGGATGTATGATCAAAATCACTTTATATCCTCTCCTAAAACATCATGATAAGTATGCATGTTTTACACCACAGCAGTATATCAGATGTTCTAGATGATTTGGATTACATGAAGCTGACAGATGTGCCATCTGTCCCAGGCTACTGACCCGCAGGCTGGCATTTCTGTTTAAGTAGGGTGGATTTATTTTCCCAGGGAATGTCCCAAACCTCAAACAAACAAACCTCTGTCTGTGGAGAGACCGAGAATGGGGCTGATCAGGAGAGAGAATGTGCATTGTAAAATTACAAGAACAGCATTTATTTAAATGAGTAAATAACATGGGGTTATCATACTGGATTTGTGCTACTGAATGGAATTATTTTGAACGTGAAATCAAAATCAAAATTGCAAACATGCTAATAATGGACAAAATGAAATTCCACCCTAAATGTGTTGTGTGCTGTGCATTGACTGGTAAAGAATCATCTGAATTTGCCATTACAAGACACTGAGTAGTGATGTTTTATATGGTTTAAGGATTAGTATTTGCTTACCTTCTGTTTGTGAGGCTCTGGGAAAAAGTCACAGGTGTCCTCAGCGCTCAGCTTTAGGGATTTCTTACACTGAGTGCTTCCAATCTCAACCATAATACTATACCGAACACCTTTTACCAGCTGTGGAAGACATGGAACAGAAATGAAAGACTCAAATGTTTGTTTGTTTTTTTGAATGGAGAAATAATTATGGTTGCATAATATCAAACTTCTATAAAGAATCTTAATACATTTGTTACATATCTCAGTAAAGATTGACATGTTAAATATATAAAGATTACTTTCTAATAATTCATATAACTAAATACACAAATTTGTTATATCAACAGCATTTACACAACAGTACGCTTAAATAGACCGTCCTGTTGCTTCCTGTATTCTTCCATCTGTGTAACATTTCTGTAGTTAAAGTTCTTTTTCATTCTGATGTTTTTGACAATATGGAGCTAGATGGTGTCCTGGACTTTATTTGTATGATGGGTAAATACCACATTCACAAAGCAAGATATCTCAACTTTAAACCTTATTGCAAAATATGCGCTTCTGATTCGCTATTCTCATCACTTTTAAAAA